TTTAATGGGCATGAATCCCCTATAACAAGGTCCCTCCTGATAAGAGTTCTGCTTCTCATTAGGTGTCACTACCTGAATAGCATCACCTATCAAACTAACTGAGTTTCATGCTTGCATAACTGCATACTGAGCACAAAATCTAATGGTAAGGTTAGATGGTGCAAACATACTTCAGCTGTACTTATATAAGACAATTTTATGCTTTTAACCTCATTAATTTGCAAAGCCAGTCATGCTGTCTTCTCTTGTTTTTGAACTAACAAAGGTGTGGAGCCAGAGGTGACAGCCCCTAATCATGGCATGCACTCAGAGGTTGACGCTGGAATCTGGTTTACAAATGAGACAAAGTTGTTGCTAAGATTACAGGCTGAGGTGACAAAGATGTGCATGTGTCTGTTGGTGCGAGTGGTCTAAGGTATGTGATAAGTGTCTATGTGTGTTGTGTGTGTGTTTCTATACGGGTGGGTGACCATTTCTGATAAGGACTAATCCACCTGACATGCCTGTGACACTAAACAGAGAGCACCTCTTGACATTATAGGAATTAATGAGAGCAAAGTAATAGGAAGACAAGCGACGCAATTCACTACACATTTGTATTTATTTCCCCTTGTAGCTCTGCACTTCTTGTGCACTGCTGTTATTTCTTTGCTCTTGTCTTTTTTTAAGCAAGGTCTTCCCTTTGGAATAAATAAATTACTCCAACTACCTTTATACGGATTAAGGACACAGAGAGACACTTTATATGCCTTAAGTAGATAAGTGCTCTACCCAAACACTGGAATGCACTGCAGTTGAAAGTCAAGTTAAACTAGCACATTTGGCTAGATATGATGGGAGTGTTAGGGGAGATAAACATTCCATAGAGGATATGTTATTAATTGGGGCAATAACTGAGCCTTTAAAATCTAACTATTAATTGATAAACGTGGCCGGTGGCACTGGACGACAAGCGCACAGTTACAAATCCTATCTTGTGCGAGGGGAATGGTGTGTCAGGCTCTGCGGGAAATCCTAGAAGAGTATTAAAAGGATAGAAAGGATAGTGGTAATATGTTGTGCATTGATTCCAAGTGGCCGCACACAATCAGACCTAGAGAACAGAAAAAGTATATTACAGAGCCTTCTGCTCAAGAACCTAGGGGGAAAAATATAGATTCAGAGGCCCTGTTGCCACTGGATTAGAAGAGTAAGAAAGTCACAGAAAAAGCACATTAGCCAAATGCATGTTGTGCAAATGTGCAATGGATAATCTCCGTGTTGCAAAGTATTTTCAAAGCTTTAGGTGCAGGTTTGTTGGGGGGGGTTGTTTGTTTTGTTTTTTTTCAGAAAGTTCCTCCTCTGATGTTGTGTTGTTTTAAAGGCTCAAACATGCCCACACCTGCACTGGAAAATGTAGAGAAAAAAAAACGCTCTTCCCTATTACCCAAGTAATAATCCAAAATCCACGGTTCTTCCAAGACAAGGATGTTGTGTAGCTAATATCCTGCAGTAATTTTGACTTACAGAGCCGCTGAGATAACATAATGTCAGAGACAAGCAAAAGCTCCATAGCAAACCCAGAGGCCAAAGAAAAATCTGTTCAAATCAAATATTTCAGTGTGCACTACATATGTCCTGACTTACACTGACAATGAGAGAACAAATGTCTAAATGTACAAAATGATGCACATAAACAGCGTATAGTTACTTGTAGAAAGAAGAGATGTTGTGTGATATCTTGCACTAGCTCCTCCTCTGCATTTTCAGGGTAAAACTTGGCCAGGAAGTGAAAGGTGATGGGTTCTTCTTTTGGCACCTCCTGATCTAGAACCTGAAACAACAAATAAACAATTTTTTTTTTATTGTCATGACTCCTATATCTATATTAACAGCATTTACATAGCACATAGTTTTTTTTAAAACAATTTAAGTGCAGCAGTCACCTTTTTGTCCATTTTAAGCCATGCAACTGTGTCCTTGATGTTATACCGGAGACCAAAGAACCATGTCTCTCTCAGTCCAAGAGTTCGGCACACCAAGTCAAAAAGATCTTTTCCTTTCCACTTGACCTGTAACACAGAAAAAAATAGGAGGGAATTTTGCATTCATAATATCCTGCATCTTTGTTATCTAGTCATACTGGCATTTCTATTACAACACTGGGTTCCAAGCAGAGAATCATACATGTCCTCCTCATCCTGCTGAGAGCTAAGAGGGAGGCATATCAGGCACACATATCCAATTTAGATTGGCTTTCATCTCTAGCCTCTGAGTTAACTTGGGTTGCAAGCTACTGTCAAGTGCTTCCAAGGCTGGCATGAAAAAATGCCCTAAGAACCGCAAAAGAATAGGATAAAAAACTCTCCATGCACAAGGAATGGCAACCTTGACCATGCAATACTTCTATGCAAGGCTGAAAGAACACTGTCTATATGACCAATACTTATTATGTGGTTCTTCTTCAACCCATAATTGATACAATCGTCATCCTAGCACAGAAAATAGAAACCTGTAACTCGGATGACGCTGTTATGTGTAATTACTATCTCTAAAGTTTAGTGGGGTTCCTCCCTTGTAAAAATTAAAAAAGGCATGGTGTCTGCAAGTCATTTTGAAGCCTTTCAATTCTCACATATCCCCAAGTCATTTGATAAACCCAAAACACCACACAAAGGCCAAAATTACATTTTAAAAAGCAGCATAAATCTCTGTTAGCAGATAAACTTCAGCAAACCTTATAATGCACTGACTTTTGCCACCAACTATTTCCCTGATCACATTGGTGCAGAAGACACAGATAAACATATAACAGATAATCATCTGTTATATGTTATATGTTTATATATAATATTATACATAAACTGTAGCTGATATCACCATAATATCAGCTACAGCTGTTCAGTTCATGGGTCACAGTTGACTGCTGCCATCTAGTGTCGAAAAGTGCTAATTGTTTATCTTAAAAAGGAATGGACACCTGTATCCATTCAGTTACTCTATCCATTAGATTCTTATCAAGCAGTTGTAAATACATTACAATGCATAGCAATTAGTAACTAGTCGTTATTAGCAGTACCTGGCGTTGTGGCCACGGTCACTACAAATGTCGAAAAGTCTTGGCTCAAGCTGAATGGATTTAAGATTAGTCTCACCTCGCAGCTGAACTCCAGGTCCGACTCCATTGTGGAGATCCTGACGTTGAAGGTCTTCGCTTGTTTTCTCATCAGCGAGTTAAATCCCATTTTTGCTGCAAAGGCACTTGCCATGGCGAACAGTTCAAAAAAACTAACAATTCAATTGTTCAAAGTCGCTTCTACACTTACCTACAAACTGAGTGCACGGTCAAGCCATTTTGATTAACTTTTTTAACTCTCTGATGGAAACAGAAGACGAGTCATCCGGCATAGTTGAAAGATGAGCACAGCTGTGCATGTGACTTTCCAGACTTAGTATTTATCGTTCATCTATCGCTGGATGCTCAAACGAGAGTTACATGAGTTTTTAAGACTCTGACTGGCATGTTATTGCTCTATTGTTGTCCCGCAATTACGTATTTATGTTATTTTTCCCTTTAACTGCCAAAAAGAAAATTATCAATATATTCATCCCAAGCAGATAAATACAGCGTAGGCTTGTTAGGCTTGCTATTAGTTAGCTAACTAAGATTACATATAATATGAACCCTTAAGTGGCGACAACTTTAAATAAATCCGTAAGAAATACGACAATGTTCACATTTATGCGTCTCACCCAAATCATTCCGTCTGGAGACGTCAAAACACTTAACTTGTTACACATGAACTACGCTAAAAAGGAAGCGAAACACCAGCTAACCGCTGCTAACCACTTGTTAGCGATCTCATCCAATGATGCATTCGGGTACCGCCCAAAATGTTGTAATGACAAAGTAGTACATAATAATGGCATTGACATAAAATGCCATTTTATTTTATGGCAGGGCAGAATGCTATTTATGGCTAGGCCATTATAAATGAATACTTGCATGCACTTCGCTTTCTTACTCTAAGACAAGCTCAAGGGGTTCACTTTGTGGTGACTAAATCCACAACTATTCTGGTGATCAATAAAAATGTTGTTGTATTTTTCAGACAAAAATGGCAGACCTAATTGTGTTGTGTCTCAGTTATGAGAAGCAACTGCTTTAGTCTGTGAAATGGGATCATAATCTGAATATATTTGATTTTAAAGTGCTGGGCAGTAAAATTAATTAATTAAGTAATTAACATTTAAATTAAAGGAAAACAATATCAGCTCATCTTGGGCATTTGAGCAGTGGATTCTTGAAGAACAAATACATCTGTTCTAAATACAGGATCTCGTTCCTGGAAATCAACACCAGTAACCCACCAGTACCACGTGCAATAACTATCTACCATAAAACTCACAGAATATTATTATTAGTAGTAGTAGTTGTAGTAGTAGTGGAAGAGAGCGTGGAGATGTGAGAAGATGGTACTACAAGATGATAGTAAGACCTGTTATGATGGATGGTTTGGAGACAGTGGACCTACAAATAGCCAGGAGGCAGAGTTAGAGGAGGCAGAGTTGACAATGGGAAGATTTGCAATGGGAATGATCATGGGCTGCCTTAGAAATGACTACACCAAATGGTGTAGTCAATACACTAAGGGTGAGTTTCGAGAGTTTAGAGATGCTTGGTTGGCAGTGGCTTGGACTTTTGCAGAGGAGGGACAATGGATGTTATTATTATAATTATTAATATCTTAAATAATTTCTCAAAGAGTAAAATGCTGTAGAATATATAAGTGAGACCTGTTAATTACATCTGACACTACTTGCCTATTAAACAAGACTTGTACTTTTTTTTTAAAGTTTCCTTTTATGTTTTTGACTTGCCTGTAGTTTGTTTTGCAAAAAATAAAAATAAAACATAAATAAATAAATAAAATATATGCAGAATTTCCGATGGTCATGAAGGCAGCACCGCTTTTTATTTCCTCTTGAGTGAACGTGGCTCCACCCTCGGCCCGGCCCCCTGCGCCATAAAGGGGCGGCGAAAAGGCAATGAGGTAATCGGGGTAAACAGTAAAGATGGCGACGCCTGTGGATGGAGAGGGACAGCCAAGTCTAAATGGGACTATTCCCGACCCCCAAACAAAAAAACTGACAGACCTGCCGACCGAGTTGCTCGAACACATCCTGTGCTTCCCTGTCCTCAAACATGTCGACATTTGTAACGTCTCCTGTTGCTGCAAGCGGCTACACGACGTTTGTCATGGAAGGGGGAAGGTCTGGGGACACCAGTATAAACTCAGGTGCTGTTTTTTTGTGGTACTCTATGCTGGCTTCTGGTGACTTTTTGTGCTGTCTATAGAAATGAATCTGACTCTTTTGTTATTTATGCGTAGTTTAGAGCTATTAATCTCCAAATGTCTGCTCTGAGGTGGGTTCGTTTACTGCGAACTCACAGGCAGCTGTCAGCCGTTGACATTGTGCTGATGCACCAAATTCATCATCACGCCATGCCGGTGGCTTACCTCCTGCAACAACAATGAGGCTTATAATTGTTTACAGCTTTTGCAAGTAGCGATTTATTCTCCATTACACCAAATGAATTCATTCACAATGAATTTGTATGACCTTGAATGTTAGCCTCTGATCTGCAGAAGAGTGAAGCTCTTGGCAAAAGCTAGTTACTGTAAGCCCTCCTCCTGAGTGCCTTGGCTGACAGCTTTGCTCTTTTTTTTTAAGCAGAGCAAAAGACACCTCTTCAGCAAAATGATAAACAGTTCTAGAGACTAACATCTAATGCTTGAGGCACCAGGCAGTTAAATAATTCAGAATTTTTATCTGTTTTCCTGTAATAAAATAATTACACTGCCTTTATTAACAGATGGCCAAGACTGCAGAGGTTTTATCGTCAGAATGAGTCTTGTGACTGGCTCAGAGAATACAAAACACGCCATAGAGTTGGGATACAAATACGAAGGACTGTGGAATCGATCTCAAAGAGATTCTTCACAGAAGTTGTGAGTAATCATTTTTATCAGTGTTGGGGTTTTTTTTCATTATCTGTTTTAGTGTTATGTGTGACTTCAATACCTTGTGATAGACTGGCAACACATGGATCAGTAGCAGTTATACATATTTCACTTAAGATGCAACATTTGATCTTACCAACTTAAATGCATGTTTGTGAGAGATTACGTGGGATGCGTCTGAATTTTTTTTATATTTCTTAACACATGCAAACTGTACAGGTTACAAGTCTAGTATTTAGCATGGAAAACACAGATATAATGGTCTTTGTTTGGTTTTTCATGCGCACATATTTATGCAAGAAAACCTGAGCTTTCAGTGTTCCAAACTAATCTTGAGGTCTGTAACGCAGCCTTGCGTTGGTCAGGTGCTGGGAGACAGCTTTGCAGAAATTGAGTCACTTGGAATGCCTGAGCACTTCTGTGAAGATGAGCTGCTCTTCATACTCAACTCTGACAAGAGGTGAGAGCAGCATTGTGTTTACACTATAATCTCAGTACTTGACATTCTTGCTCTGTAGCTGTACACCCTCTGACCTCTGTATTAGGTACACATGTTCAGTTGCTCATTAACACAAGTGTCTAACAAGCCAATTACAGAAAATCAATGTATTTAGGCTTGTAATGATGACGTAATGCAGTTCATCAGCATCACAATGGGGAAGAACAGTAATTTAAGTGATTTTGAATGTAGCACGGTTGTTAGTGCCATACAGGCTGGTGTTAGTTAGCAGTTTCAGAAAATGCTGAACGCCCAACATCTCAACACGAAACTGGGATCCATCCTGCCTTGTATCAGCAGGTAAGGCTGGTGGTTGTAGTGTATTAGTGTGGCTGATATTTTCTTGCACACTTTTAGCCTTTTGAACATGATTGTGAGTTCACAGCACTCAAATGGCATTTGACAGTCACCAGATTTCAGTCTGATAGAGCACCTTTGGGATGTAGTGGACATTCAGCCAAATTAAATTCAGTGTGACATTACCCTTTCCGAATGGTCCAAAATCAGAGGAATATGATCAGCACCTTCTTGAATCTATGCCAGGAATAATAAAGGGAGGTCTGAAGGCAAACAGGCGTCCAACCTGTACTAGCAAGGTGTACCTAACAAAGTGGTGAGTGTACAGTTTGCAGTCACAAATGGGTTTGGGTGTTGATCATGTTAATCCTCTCTAAGACCTCTGTGATTATGATAGCTTTTGTTTTGTTGCATGCGCTCTCCTTTGATCTACCATCTCTCCATTCTCGACTCAAAATTAGGAAAAGCCTGACCCTGAAGTACTATGCAAAGAAAATCCTTTACTTCCTGAGACAGCAAAACATCCTGAAGAGTCTGAAGAATTTCCTGGAGCAGCCCACAGAGCAGCAGTCAGCTCTAGAAGGTGAGGCATCTGTCCCGATAATACAAAGTTATTATACATTTATGTAGACTTAAAAATCTCTATTATTACTGTGTTAATAATTTATAGCTACTAATTTTGCTACTAATTATAACATTATACTGTGCTTAACAAATTATTAGTCATAAAAACAACAACAACTACAAAAAAAACACAAATATTTTAGAAATCTGTCAAAAACCTTTTTTTAAAACTAAAAATTTCTACTCAAATTTCAGCCGGCAAACTTCTGAGTTCTGAGAAGTCAGACATTGATCCATGACAACATTCAACCATTAAAATGTATTTTTCTGTTCAGGAATGCAAGTAAATGCCTGTCATTTGGCATCTTGAGAAAAAATAATGTGAGTTACTATTTTTCTCCCACCTTTTTTTTCAAAACAAATAACAGTCACTTCAATCATTTTATTTTGGCATAAAAAGATACAATTTCGATTGACGAGCTTGTGCAAACTGGTGAATTACCCATTACAGAAACCTAGAAAAAACGAGTTTAGGCTACTGTGGTGGTGGTCTAATAAATTTGTTATGCACAATATATTGAAATAACAGTACATTTAAACTTTCTGCCTTTTCCTTATGTAATTCCTGTGGTTCCTTTTTTTTCCTCCTTAGGTGCTGTACTAGTTGATCAGTATTGTAACCCACTGGCTGATGTTACACTTGACAGCATATCAGCCCAGCTGGATGCAATCACAGAGAAAGTCAAGAAGATGCTGAGGATCAAGAACCCATCTCACCCCAGCCTGCGTATTGCCCAAGGTCAGCTTTTAAGTCTCACAGAACTTGAAAAGAACATTTGCTTTCTTTTCTTTTCCGTTCTTTTCTTGTGTTTTTCCCCCTTTATTATGTTTCTCCAAAGATTTATCATCAGTTGATGCCTAAAGCCTGAAGGCTTGGGCTTTCCATTTCTAGTGCATTCTAAAAAAAGTCAATATGAGCAAATATGTTTGGCAAAGGTGGCACAGCTGCACAAAATCCATAACCTTCACTTTAATGCAAAGTTTGGTTGATGTTTTATTTCTTGTGTGTATTGCAGGTAACTGTTCTGTTGTAGAGGACTTTGAGCTCCAGAGACAGGTCATTTGTGCCCTTAACTCTGTCCTGTATGAGCAGCTTCAATACAAAGGCAATGAGTGTGACTACTACAACCCCCTCAACTCTTATATCCACCAGGTAGACTTTCCAGAAATCCTTTATCTTCAAGGTGTCAAGCTTTTGAATAATTTTCAAATTATTCTTCTTTGTGGAATATTTTCACTTATCTTCTTGGTAATTGTGCAGGTGCTACTACGTCGTACAGGCATTCCCATAAGCCTCTCCGTTCTCTACATGACATTGGCCCAGAGGCTCGGTGTTCAGCTGGAACCCGTCAACTTTCCCAATCACTTCCTGCTGCGCTGGTGCCAGAAACCGACAGGGTACAGCTTTCATTAAAAAAAAAAAAAATTCAGATCCAGTTATTGACTGAAATTTAAGCTGTCATGCATGAAGTTTATGGAAGGGAAAGCATGGAGGAGAGGAATAAATAATCAAGATCAAAGCATCCATTTTCAGGGTTTATGCACACATAAATCAGTAAATCAACACCCATCAGCATTCATCAGCATCAGCTTTAGGAAGTGGGAGTTTACAGTTTGTGATGTTCATTTATTTTTTTATCTTTCATTTGATTTAAGCTACCACAGACAGTCATTTGCCATTGATTTCCCTTGCTGAGGTTACCTGTAATAGACACAAATGATAAACGGCGATGGCTGCATAGCAGAGGTATGAAATCCAGCTACAGTAGTTAGAACAACCATTCCTAATGGGAGTTTGGAGTATGTTAAATGTATGCCAGTGTGTTTTAACAGACACATAGGAACATGTGTAAACACATTTCTGCACCTTACTCAGAGATAAGGACAAACAATTTTTTTTAACTTCCTTTAACATTCTTAAAACTCCTAAGCTAATTATCATTTATGTTTTATAAAATTATACAAAGCTAAAGCTGGTGGCAAAGTGTGTGTTTAATGTGAAATGTGTATTTCTATGACATTAATGGAATTTCTTTTTCCTGCAGGACTGAGGATATCTATGACTTTGTCTACATTGATGCCTTTGGAAAAGGCAAGCAGCTGACAGCAAAGGAGTGCGAGTACCTCATTGGCCACCAGGTTACAGCAGATTACTACAGTGCCATAAGCACCACAGAGGTGCTGCTTAGGATGGTGGGAAACCTGCTTAACATCGGCAAGAGAGGGTAAGGGAAATTGAACACCTGACTCTACAATCGCTACAATCGCTTAGAGATAAATGGAGGGCGGATCAGTGGATGATAAAACAAAGAGGCTAATCAAGAATGTTGCTCTAAATTCCTGCTTATCTTTTTGTTTTATGATCTGACAAAATAATTATGGCATTAAACAGTCTCAAAGCAAAATAAATGATTAAAATGGATTTGATGTCTGTCAGATGAATAAATTAATAGCATCTTCTCTTTACTATTTTATTTCTATTTTTTTTCTTTTTTTTCCCCCCTTGTCAGTGAGGGCAATGAAAAATCCTACCAGCTACTCCGAGACTCTCTGGACCTCTACCTCACAATCAACCCAGATAATGTGCAGTATTTGCTGCTGCAGGCACGCCTCTACTTCCACCTGGGAATCTGGCCAGAAAAGGTCAGAATAGCCAACTGTCTGTTAAAAATAAGTCTTGATTTTTAGACTACTGAAAGTAGTTTTTGTAGTGTTACTATACTGGAATTGTTTTCCTCATTCTCTACCTAAATTAAGTGTTAAATATTATAAAATATAAAACAATTAACATTGTACTGCTCTTGCACAATAGTTTAATATGTAACATAATGTGCAGCTGCATAGGACAGCTATTCTCAGAGGTCATATACCTGACATAAACACATTGTGGATTGACTTTTATCCTTTTCCCAGGTGCTTGACATCCTGCAGCATATTCAGGCACTGGATCCCTCCCAGCACGGAGCGGTGGGTTACTTGGTGCAACATACGCTGGAGCACATCCAGCACAAGAAACACCCTGTGACACCCGAGGTGAAGAGGCGTAGTGCTCCAGAACACCTGGAAGTCCAGTATTCAGTCGGCCTTATTATGAAACACAAGCGGTAGGTCACACTGTAATGTCATTCGCCATGCATCATACATGACAAAACCTAAAATCCTTTCTGATCTTTCTCTCTGATCATACCCTGTATATTTGATCACCTGAGCATTTTGGCTCTTTTCCACCTGTTTTATCAGCTCTGGGTATAACTGTGTGATCTATGGATGGGACCCTAAATGTACAATGAGTCCAGAGTGGATCTCCACCATGAGGGTCCATCAGCTGTCCAATGGGGCTAATCAGCCTTTCTACAATGTACTCGTGCAGGATGGGACTTGCCGCTATGCAGCACAAGGTATGAATCATATACAATAGTGTGGTGATGGTAACTATTAACATCCCCTGTGTACAGGTTGTGTGATTGAAAACAAAAATGTGTAAATAATGTATATACTTGGTAAATTCCTTCACCTTCAAGGTGGCATATAGCTGTTTGTTTGGTTTTGTTGGCACTTATAATGCACATTAATGGACAGAGTCTGATCAGTGCTCTACGTATGGCTTATTTACTGAGTAAAAAACACACAACAGTGGCAGTACAGATTGAAAGTTTGTAGTTTTACTAACTTGGGGTATGTGGGTCTGCTCTGACTTTGAGTGGGAATTCCAGGTTAAAGGGGCATTCCACAAAAACAATCAGACTGGGAACGCTGAATTTCCAACTTTAGACTTGTTTAAGAATGCAGCATTAGCCAGTCTCTCTGTACTGCTCTGGTGCTTATTCCACTTTCCAGAAATGAACAGGACTTTAAGCTGTGATGTGAAAATAAATTGAATTTGAAATTATCTTGATGAACTTAATTTTTCATTACACAATTTTGACATATTATTTTGTAATTGTCCTCTGTGCAGCGCCACAGTGGATTTTAAAATCAATCAATCAGATGTGATTCGTGTCACCCTTTCAGCTTCAATTTATAAGGTTTAACAAGTATTGCATTATTTTAAATACCCATTTCTTTTGTACATAGATGCCCATTTTCAGAGGCTCAAAAGTAATTACTCCATTTACTAACATTCAGTTTCATGGCCAGACAAGGTCAGTTCCCCCAATATTGCATAAGAAATTCAGCAGATAAAGGATTTGGGGCTAATTTTAAGTGTTAAACTTGCATTTGTTAGCTGTTCACTGGCACTCTGAAGAGGCCGATAAGGATGTAGAGGCTATCGTTGGGCTAAAAGGACAGATTACACCGTGCCAGAGAACCTCTAGAGCAGGCTGCAAAGTTCTGGGAAAAAATGGATACAATGTTGATGACGTTCTTTGGACAGATGAAACCAAGATGAATTTATACCAGAATGATGGGAAGGGAAAAGCATGGAGAGGGGAAAAGAACAGCTCATGATCCAAAGCATACCACATCAGTTGTCAAACATGTATGGCTGCCAGTAAAAATGTGTCACTAGTATTTATTGAATACTGACAGCTGTGGTTTACAGAGGTAAAATTACAAAAACATAAGTCCTTGTTCAAATACTTATGGACATGTCACATATACTCAGTCCCACCTGAAGTATGTTTTTCCTTTGTTCTCCAGAGAACCTGGAGCCTCACTCAGCCCCCCTGGAGATTGGCCACCCAGAGGTGGGTCGCTACTTCTCCGAGTTTGCTGACACCTACTATGTTGCCAATGAAGAACTGCAGACACGATACCCAGAGGACATGGATGAAACCTTGTGTACAGTCCGGGAGTTCTATCACAGACTGACACCCAGTGTTGGGAACCAAGAAGAAGCTCCTACCACAGACCAAAACAACCAACAAGCCATGTCTATGTAGCAAGCAGCGCTGTCTAGCACTCTGCCAACCCAGGCTAACCGCTTACAGGTCACAATTAACTTAGCTGGTGCTTTGTTGTCAAAACCAGAGGGGTATACTATGAAGGAAATTCAAGAAAGCCAGGCTTTTGTTGCCTTAGCTGGCGTAACAGACCCTAAAAACCCAGTTGGAGATGATCAGTACCATGACGGTAGTTGTCAGCGTTCTCTATTAAGCTTTCTGCTTCAAACTCTGTGTGTGCTCACATAAAAGAGGGGAGTTTCACATGACATGCAACTCTTCTTGCATATAAAATGACCCATATGAGTGCTACCCTTTCCAATCAGAGACATTATATGATGATGATTATAAAAGGTGATTAAAATCTATAAGGAAATTTGAAAAATATAACAGTAAAATGCAGTACTGTTTACTCACCAGATCAAAGTGAAATCAATTTGACTGAATAGGTATAAAAAAAAAGTATAAAAGAAATTATACATTTTCAGTATCACCAAATTAATACATTCACCTTCCTGTGACAATGCAAAGAACCTTTATTCAGTCACTTTAGCAATGTGTGAAAACCTGGCGCTTCCAGATGATTTTCAAACTAAAACCCAGAACATAACCAGCTCCTGACCAGGTTACGAGAACACTACAAGTTACCATGGTGATTTAGCCAGTTAAGACGACCACTTTCATGACACAGAATACTTTATGTGGAAGTAGCTTGCTAAGCCATTGAAATTACTTCGTAGTAGACCCCTCTAGCCGTGTGGAACAGAGAGTTTTTGCTTTGATACATCTGTCCTAATACCCGTGTATTTGTTGTAAAATCAAGGTTCAAATTGTCAGACAATGATGTATGATATTCATTTAGCAGGGATGTATTTTTCACAACCCAAATACCTTCAGAGAGCCAAGTTGGAAAATTAATCAAAACCAGAATAATTTAACTTTAGAAACCACTAGATTTAAAGTAAACAATTAAGCGGACAAGTAAATATCAGAATGAGTGTCCACGTGCTGCAAATCCCCATTGTCTAAAACCAAGGAATGCTCTTTTACCCACAACTCCACGCATCCAGCACCAGTCTTAAAACCATTTACCCTAAATCCCCAGTACATTGACACCCAGACGACTAACTTTGTAAATTGACTTTTGCTTTTATTTCTCCGTATTTTAATGGTGACACTCACTTATGAAGGTCTAACTTTCACATTTCTAGTATTTTTTTTCCTGTATATTTACAAGTGAAATAAGTAGGATGCCATGGCTCATCAGTCTTTAATGAAAAAAATAAGTGGAACCAATAAGGACACCAACTACTTGAAGCCGAAATGACTGAGTTTTGAGGAGACAAAAAGAATAAAGCGTTCCAGGTTGTAATACTTACTTTCTGACTCATTTCTCTCGCTTAGTGTATTCATTGTTTTCTAGTTCACGACACATCACTAACTACATCTGCGCTAATGAGAAACATGAAGCAGCAGGTGGTTTATCCGCACACTGTGTGGATTTAGGACCTTGAGGACGCCAGACGTTCCCAGGACGCCAGAAGCAAACTACACTTCTAGTGTCTTGCAGAGGGAAGCGGGTTAATATTGCAACACTACAGAAAAGTTCAAACAAAGTATGCGCTCTGACGGAGCGGTGAAGCAGCAAGAATGGGAGCTTCGCAGACGCGCCCCGAGCACAACTACGACGATCTGACTGACAAAAGTGGATGTAAGTAGGAAGATTCTCGTTTGATGCCGTGCGCCGTGCTGTTTGAGTTAAGTGCTTCACTTGCATCGTGGAAAGGCTGGTAGCTGTGATACGCGTCGTCGAGGAAACGAAGGGAGACTAGTGATTAACAATTAGTTGATAGCCGTGCCGACCTGTTTTTCTAGTGTGCTGGCTGATATTAAAACCGCTTAATGGTGATGAGGTCAATAAAAAGGAAATACAACTGTGTGAAAACTACTGGAATTAAATGGAACCATGTTGCGCTCCTTATTACTCACGTAATCGGGGCTACAAGTTGCCCAACGTAATTTCCCCTACTGTTTAATTCTGAGTTAATAACATATCTTAAAGAGGTCTAAATGGTACTTGGCAAAAGTAGGTCAATTTCGGTTTAAGGCGGAAAGAGGAATAACCGCATTTTGTTCCAATGTTTTTCAAACGCCTATTTTTAAATTAAAAACCTAATCTCAACGGGAAGACGAGTGGTTGATTGCTTACACGGAGTAGCTGTCAAAGAAATGAGACGGTCCCATAACTTTGTGTAAATGGGCTCGACATGTGACACATGGTGTGACGGGTGTAATATTTACGTACTTAATATGCAAAAGAGGATCTTTAAAACGATCTAACAGCGATAGTTATGACTAACAGACGCAAGTTTAAAATCAGGTCTACTGTTCAGTGCGATTGTATACATTGTTGGCGCATTGAGGCACTCAACACTTTACCGTCTGTATGTGGAAGAGTGAAATAAACAAGTTAAAACACTACGGAAGTAAGTAGAGTTTTGTTTTTTCGTCTTCTTTTTTAAAGGGCGAGTCTCCAAGTAGCGGCATGCCAGTCTGATAAACGGGGATTAGATTTGAATCAACTTTATGGCTTTTGTATGTTTGAGACTTTGAACTATTTTATTGCCTTCATTTCTTCAAGGTGCGTCTCTCTCTGGGCTCAGCTGGAGCGCTTTCTGGACTTGAGTTCTGCGCAGTTTGATGAATTGATATGTTTCATTGCACCCACAAGTGTGTGTGCTTTAATACTACAGATTCAATACTACAGATTCTTCTGTTGTTGCCCCCCCTTTTGGCTTTGGCTAATTGGTCCATGAAGTTGAGTGTTTGTTGCACCACCAACAATGACTAACAAACTGGTTTGTATAAAAGCATTAATTTACATGCTCTTGGGAAACGGGGGAAAGGTCACAATAAACAGGGGTGTTGTCCACAATGATTAGAAATTCCAAACTAGTTTGATAAGTCACCAGGTAGAACTAGAAAATCATGCTTAAGGCTTCTGGTATGTGTTTGTAGAGTGCTGATTTAAGTAACCATGTGAAATTGCATAAAGGTGTTCAGTTTGTTTGCACTGCCATTAGACTGATAGCAAAGCAGCACCCATACAATTTGATTAAAAACAAACAAAGTTAAGTGAATGTATAATTATAAGCATTACTGTAAAAAATCTTCACAAATACATTCACATTGTTGATGTGTGCTTCTTTACAGTTTCACAGGAGCAGATCAAAAATCTTTACCAGAGATTCCAGCAGCTGAGTGGAAATCATGAAAAAATAAGGTAACGTGTCTTGTTACATGGGGGTCAGCTCGCAAGTGGTTTTAATGGAAACACCTGGGCTTTCTTTGGCTGATATAGTAGTATGGCAGTTGCAGACTGGCAGTTCAGACTCACAATGGAGACGTTGCAGTTGCTGCTAAAAGATGAAATACTGTATGGTCAGGCTGAGGAACTGTGAGGATTTCTGGCTTTTCCAGCACAGACAAAAACAAGTAATGTAATGGTGATACAGACACACACCAAAAGAGAGACATTAGGCAAATATAACATGCAGATAATGATGCATTAGTAATACAGAGCAAACACTTACTGTGCAAACACACCACTTCATATATAGACATGCCACATGATCACAGTGGCCGGGTTTTGGTTCCTTATTTTGAAAAAGAAAGGGGGAACAAATGTTTGTTCTGGTAGGTTGGACAGATAGCACTATTCACATTCATTACCACCCTCTAATGTTATTTAAATTTGTCCAAAAAAAAAAACCCCAATCTGACTGTGTAGTAGACTGGAGTATAGTGAACAACAGGTGCCTTGAGTTGACAGGTTGCGATTTGGTACCACATGAATAAAACTGAATTAAACCTTATCCTGTCCCACTGCAGCCGAGATGACCTGGAGCGCATACCGGCCCTGAACAACAACCCAATCAGAAAGCAAATTATTACTGCATTCTTTGATAAAAGGTGAGTACAATCAAATGACACCATATTCTCTCTGTTACCTGTATGGTTAATGTCAAGATCACTGAACTCTTTAATCAGAATCAGTTGTTTACTGTCGACTTCTGTGTGTTTTGGCTGATGAAAACAATAGGCTGAAGAGAACCTAATATGTGGAAGTAACTGTTATTGTGGGGTTCAGTCTTCAGCTAAAAGAACATCCATACACTTTGTGAACACACATTATCCACCTGTTCACATGAAGCAGCAGCTTTGAAAATGAGGGTTTTGTTGCTATTACAAGACAGTTGTTGGCATTTTTAATCACTGTGTCATGCTTTGGAGGGTGGAAAGCAGCAGAACAAACCACAATGAACTGCATAATAAACAAGCTGTCTGTGAATGCATGTGGCTTCTGCTCACAAGCAAACAGCTCTTGTGACAAACTGAATAAAGAAAAAAATGTTTTATTTTCCCACAATATGGAGATATTTTCATCCATTGTATCAAAATGAATAGTTTAGGATTATCATTATTTATAGTTATTCTTTTTTTTAACCAGAAAAGGCAGGAAAATGCAGAAATTGCATTGGTTAAAACAAGCCTATACATTGGTTTGTTTTGATTGTGATACAGGAACCAGCATCAGAATGATGTTGGCTCCCTTGACGAGATTGGCTTTGAGCAGTTCCTCATGGTCATGTCCCACTTCCGCCCTGTGAATTCAACAGCGACAGAAGAAGAGAAGGTGACTGTAAGAAAACAAAAGCTTCGCTGTAAGTATCGAGGTGGTTTTGTTTTTTTTCCCCCCACTGCTGTCTTCACTTCTCTTTGTGTGTATCTCAAGTTTAAATTTAAAAAAAAAGTGTGCCGTGCTTCTGGATAAGACTGTGTGGTGATGCTTACACATAAATGACAACTGAATTCTTCACTGCTTGTCCAGTACTATATTGAGAGCCACAAAGGTATTTATGACCAGACTGGGAATGTTGCCCGGGACAGCCATGTCAAATGTCACAAGTATAAAGGTATGATTTGTCCTATTATAGAAGAGTGAGACACATGAGATTCAAATAAATGCTGATGTGAAATCTGTGGGAGAGCCTTGGACCCAAAACATGGTTGAAGTACAGTTTAAAGGGAAAGAAGGCTTTTTTTTTTTTTTT